TTAATGGAAGAGCAGCTCACGTCCATGTATTAATTATTGATTCGAGCTGAGGGTCTTCAAAACAAAACAAAACAAAAACAAAACAAACAAAAAATTCTCCCTGAAAGTTTCCGTTGAGTTTTTTAAAATCCGGTAAACTCTGTTAATGGAACATCTGAATGAAACGAAAAAGGGCTAGGAGGAAAGGAGACGTATAGAGTAGTTCTCCGTCATAACCAACGCACCGGGCAAAGACTCCCCTCTGGCGAGGTGCCACTCCAAGCCGCTGCCTCTCTAGCACAGTGATGCTATCGTACTTTAGTACTTGGAATCATGTCTTCGTTCTAGCACTTTTTATTTCCCATCTGTTCCACCAGCCCCTCAGAAAACAGACCCCCCGATGCAGAGCCTCAAATTTATTACCTTTCTGTGTATTGTGAAAAATTTTCGTACATCAGTACGAAAGAAGCAATCCTTGAAAAACGACTGCTCTGACGTCATTTGGCATTGATTAAAAAATAATAATAACAACCCCCCCCAAGCCCTCTACAGATTAGTTTTCTTAAGTGAAAGGAAAGCACATCGACGCTACGATAGCTCTATAATTTTGAGTATAAGCAAAGCAGCGGATAGAAACAACAGAGAAAGTCGAAGCTGTAAGACGCATCAGCGACTCTCTTCAACCACCTGCGAACGAAGTGCGTCTGGATTTATGCACATGTGTGAGCATTTGTGCATGCGTGGGTGTATAATGTGTGGAGAGGGAGAGGGAGGGGGAGAGGGAGAGGGAGAGGGAGAGGGAGAGGGAGAGAGAGAGAGAGAGAGAGAGAGAGAGAGAGAGAGAGAGAGAGAGAGAACATGCTGAGAGGGAGAGAGGGGATGGACCAGGAGACTCGGGGTAGGAGGTTTTGGGGCAACGCACAAAGTGCTTTGGCAGAGTTCCTGTTTAACAGATTGCCTAATTGTCTATCTATATGTCTGTTAGATTGTCTGTGTGTCTAGCTTGTAGTCTATTCGTCCATCAGTCCGCCTGTGCACTGCTGTTTACGTTCCTTCATTTTTTCCACTGTCTTTCTGCTTTCAAAAATCTTTCTTTTTAAAACGTTGTACTCTCATTTTTATTCCTTTAGAGACGGTCTGAACCGACATAGCATGCTGTATAATTCCTTCAGGGGGTGTCCCAGTGTTTTATTTTGTTTCCCATCTCTCTTTCCTTGTCACTTTTCTCTCGACCCACATCCTGACTACAGCAAGACATTTTTTGATAGTGTGAGCAGTACCAGCTGTTCCGTAAGTACCTACCCAATTCAACTCTATTTCGTAACTGCCATCTTCTCCTCTCCCGCCAAGCTCGCTATCTGTTTGTCACGGCAGTCTTGGGAGTGACACGTCTATCTGGCTCTCTCATCTCCCTCCGTGAACGCATTCTCACAGATAGTGAGGGAAAGGACCTTTCATTTTGAACAAGAAAACAAAGCGGAAAAAAACAGAAGTAAAAAAAAAAAGCCCCCCCCC